ACACCAGTGGCTGATCTCTGAAGTGTCCTATTATGGAGACAGCTCAGAACTACTTGACACTAGCAAGACGTATGGCTTTGGAAAAGAGAGAAAATATGTAAAATCGGCGTTCTTATTCCAAAGTAAGAAATACCCAGGTCTTCTTTGTCAGCCCAGGTGACCATACGTTTCTGATCCCTTGCGGAGGAAGAAGAAGACATCCCTCCAGCAGAAAGAGGAGCCTCGCTCTGTTATAAAAGCCCTGCAAATAATCCCGACGCAAGTGTGGCAAAACCTGCCTGCCATATACGTACATCAAATGCAGATGTTGAAAGGACGTAGAAGAGAGGCATAAATAAGAATTACAGGCACACGAACGCGAATTGTGGAGGAAGCCGGAGATTTCCTCAGAACGCCAAGTCTCCTCTAGGTTGCGAGGCACCAGCAGCCATCTACTACTCCGCACGGCCGCGGATAACTGCTGCCGGAGAAGTCACCGCGCGAAACGCGCTCCTGAGCGCCTTGCAGCAAGGGGGACAGGCGATCGCACGCAGCCGGGGCGCGCGGCTTCCCCTCGGGGAGCTGCTCGGGGAGCTGCCCGCCTCGTCCAGCCCCGTCCAGCCCAGCCCAACCCAACCCAACCCAGCCCAGCCGAGCCCCCGCGGGGCGCGCACCTACCGGCAGCAGCGCGCCCAGCACCATCGCCCGGCCGGGGCCCGCGGCAGGGACCTGCGAGCGCCGCTGTCAGCGGCTGCCCCGCTCCGCCGCCGTGCCGCAACAGCCGCTGCCTGGGAAAATGGCTATTTTATGAATGGGAGGGCAGCGCGCCCCTCTGCGCACGCGCGGCCTCGCGGCTCTATGAATGGGTGGGCACCGGGGCGCCAGTGCGCATGCTCGCCTCCCTTTTATGAATGGGGCCGGCGAGGCGCTCGCGGCGGCCGGGCACGGCCGTGGCCCCGCTGCGGTTTGCTTTTATGAATGGAGGGCAGCGGCTGCGCCTGCACCGCGCCCCCCGCCCGCGCCTGGAGGTAACGGCGGCGCTGGGGGGCACCGGCCCCTCCCCTGCCGCCCCCTCCCCGCGGCTGCACCCCCCGGGGGGGGATGCGGGGTGGCTGGGGGTGGGCGCTGTCCCCCCCCCTTGTAGGCGCTGCTTCCCCTCCCCGTGGGTGTCTGCCCCCCCCCCCCCCCCGTGGGCGCGCCGCAGCCCGGCGAGGCGGGGAGGGGGCGAGCGGGGCCGGCAGCTCCCGGGGGCGAGCGCGCGTCCTGCGCTGCCGCCGGCCTCTGCCCTGCCCGCGGACCTGCCTCGCTCCGTTCGCCGCCGTACCGGCACGGCCGTCCTTCTGCTTATGTGCCGCAGCCTGCGTGTTTGGCCTGGCGATAGCTACGTGAAAATGCCGGTAAAACCTGCAGCTGCGTTTCCGTGGGGGTATGCGCAACGTCTAGGTGTATTTTCTGGCTCTTTTTGAGAAGATGAAGGAGGTAGGATGGAGCCAGTGCGGCTCCCACAAAACCACCAGGAGCAAGATGTCCTGCTTAATGGAAGTGAGGCGTTTTATGTTGCTGTCCGCAGCTTTTTCCTCGTTTAGCTTTTCGTAAGCCCCGTTGGATCCCATCCTGGGTGCACTGCAGGCAACGTGAGGCAGGCCCTCAGGGTCAGATTCTCAAATGATCTTTAGCAAGCAGCTGTTGTGCTGCTGTTAGATATTGGAATCCCTGAAAACCTTGCCCTAACTGTGTGCTGAGAGCTCTGCAACATCCTTATATGCTTCAGTTTCTGTTCAGCAAATGGAGATTCTCTCTTAATTCTCAGCTGGTACAGAAATGGCTACAGGCTGGGGCTTTGTGTGCAAGGTCCTTCAGGATCCATGCAGGCAGGTTGCTTTACAGTGAAAATGGATGAAGAATAATGATTTATTCTTTTTTAATACATGAGCACAGTAATCTTCAGAGTACAAACCAAACCCCATTTCCTGTTATATTTATGGCACATATTTAAGAGCTTGCACAACACTGAAAAAAAGGTCCATGTTATTTATTTAGTGCTAACATGAGCATTGTACATTTCTGCCTCATGGAAAAGATTTCTCTTCAAGAGTATGTGCTCAGAGACTGACTGTTTAGTTATGTATATGTTTGTCTCTGAGGGCAGTGACCTTTCCAAGTGGGAGCAGTGTTCATGGGTCATGGGCAAATGCAATTTAACAAGGAAAGGACAGAAGAAGGGCAGTCTCTAAAGAACAGCTTATCTGAGTGGTACACAAAATATCAGACATCAAATATACAAGACTGATGCTTTCTTTTAAGAATAAACAGAAGATGTTTGTTAAGAATGTTGCTTTTTTATTGGTAGTGTTCTTTACAACACAGTTTTGGAAGGTTGTACATGCCAAGGAATTCTGTCCTGATTTTGAAAATTAGCAAAATAAATGGGCAATAGAAGGAAATGCAATTTTAAGAAGCTTATATAAAGGGAAAATCCACAGAAATAACATCTCACTGTATTTAGTGCTGGAAACCAACTCAAAGCTGAAAGACTCAAATGTCTGAGCAAAAAATCTGCTCTGTGTTTTTCAGCAACAGCATCTGCATTAATTTTAAGCCTTGATTTGAATTTAGCAAATGTGCTGTAACACTGCAGCAATGTGAGAGTCAAGCAGCTCAGAGCTAAGGCTTTTATATTTGAATACTGAATTCTCTACTTCAGGGTGATACGTACCATAAACGTGAGGGAAGACCTCAGCTGCAGTACAGTAATCATCTCCCTGCGAGACCCTAACTGCCTACATGGCAATTGCAAACTACTACGTAGTAGCAAAGAACGCTGGTGGGCTGGTGCTATAATTACACAGAAGTTATAGGCAGAGCCCAGCTAGATGGTATGCTCTTAACAAAGCCCTAGCTGTAAAACAGCAGAGAGGAAATAAGAATTATTATTCATCCAGGGGGGTGGAGGGGGAGGGAATGGTGTCTAGCCATGATTCTAGGGAGAGGAAGTTGAAGCTGCAGAGCTCAGAGTAGTGCTAGTACTGCTGCCTGTTGCATGAAGTCTGTGCATGGAATTCTGAAATGGTGAATCTCTGAGTTAATCCATCTCTCCTTTCTCCCTCTATTCCTGCCTTCTCCTATTGGGCCCACTTCTTCCCTATAGACAGAGAGGTTTCTTGTTAGAGTTTATCATGTTTGCTTTGCTCAGGCATGTGAGGCTGCTTTGCACTGGAACTGAGCATGGATTCCTCCCAGCCGCTGTCCCTGTTTGTACCAGCTGGCCCTGGTTTGGGTCAAGATTCCCAAGCTGAACTGCGGGTCACTGAAGCAAAACCCCATTGAGCAGGCAGTGTGCTTCTGCACCAGAGCCTCCTGGTGCCTTCCAGCTTTCCTTTGCAAAGAGGAGGAACTGCGGGCACACGTGTGGCTGTGCATGTCCCTGAGCCAGGAGGTGGGCACACGGGGCTGGGCTGTGTGCAGGGCTGGCCTGGTGCTCATCTCTGGCCCTCCGATCTCCTTGTCCTCTGTAGAAACATTGCACTACCACCTGGAGGGATGAGGCTGTCCTCACAGAGGGTTCTGTGGTGTTGATGAATGGCACCAGCAAGGGATTTCATGTTACCATGGTGTGACGCTGGAAGCTGAGGCTCTAGGAGAAATGCCACTTGTCCTGAGACTTGTAATATGTTTATTACGTGTTTGCAGTGCCAGAGATACAGAGCTGGCATGCCTTTTTTTGTGCAGGAAATTAATAGCTTATTCATTTCATGCCCATTTAAACCCTGAAATTGATGTAGATTTCCTGAACATGATTTCTTTGCTGGGATGATTATAGTGCTGCCACAACTGCATTGCCTGTAAAGTGAATTCCTTGATTCTTTTCTTGCTTATCCTTAGAAAAGCCAAGAAGCTGCCTATGTTTTGTGATAGAAGCCACATCCCTATTTTCTTTAGGGCTTTGCATTAGTTTGACTGTCAGGTTTAGACCATATTTGTTTTACTGAAACTGCATGTAGCATCAAAATACTCATCCAGCTTCTGCTGCCTGTTCCTGGAACCTCCGAAATCTTTTTCCTTCCCATTGAAGTCAGAAAACACTCATCATCTAGCTAGATGCTTTGCAGTCTTTTTGTCCTGCAATTAGTAGATCTATGATGACATGCACATTGCAACCCAGAGTTAGTTATTAGCGATGTGGATTTGGGTATTTGGATGGAAGCCAATTTCGAAGAGGTGCTGAGACATTCAGCTCTCTTTGGTAGCAGCAAGTACCAAGAAGTGTTCAGGATTTCCTCGTTAAATCACAAGCAGCAGGAATACAACTCTGCTCGTGTGCCACCACCTCATTCAGTGCTCTCTTTGGATTATTGCTGCCACCTCCCAGGTGATAAGGTTTCACCTGTTGTTGGTACTGATTAGTGCTGATTAACTCAGCAACAGGCTCCAGAAAAATGACATCTGAATCAGATATTTTGTGTCCTGTGCTGTTGGTCACTGTTGATTGCATGGACTAGATCTTACCAGTGGCCTGTGCACGTCACAGGGCAGACATCCCTGTGTGAGTGTGCCCCAAAGAGGGGAACGGGGCTGATTTGGGGTCTGTGGTTGCTGGTGTCTCGTACCTTCCCCCAGCTGTGTGCAGGAGCAATTACACTGCGTGAAGGAGCCACTCGTGTAACCCAGCCCTGCACAGGAGCCTTCCCTGGGGGCTCGGCGTGGTGCACACATGCAGCCTGCTTCTGAGCACACGTGGCTTCAGGGCTCAGGAGCCGGGTCTGCCTTAGAAGAACGTCCTTTGCTACCCAGGCTTTATTTGTTTTCCTGGCCTTAACAAAATAAATAAATCCACAGTTCCCCTTACAGCTGGGCATGTTAAATGGAGCACTCTGAGTGAGCGACTTCAGGGTTTTTGGTGGATCAGATCTCATTTTCTGCATGCAGGCAGAGCTCCTCAAACCCTCTCTGGTGCCAAGGAAGCGAATGCTGCCACAGCTCGCTGCGGGGAGAGCGACTTTCCTCTGGGCTTTCAGGTTTGTGCTTTTCACAAAGTTATCATACAGGAGATTCAACAAAGTGACACAAGCTAAGCCCTGGGGCTCGCTTGTGCTCAGAGGGGCAGGCACTTGCCAAAACTTTCTTCCTCCCCACTGCGCTGCCGCTCGCCTGGGCCTGGGGCTGGGCTGATGGCAAGCAGCCGAGTGTTGCCCGCAGCCGCTGCCTGGGCTCGCTCGCTTTGGATCGCGCTGCACCGCGGCGCTCCAGCCCTGCCTGCGAGGAGTGCGGGCTGGCAGGGCTCCAGGGTGGGCGTGGGTGTCCCGGCCAAAAGCTGGTGGTTTAAGGAAATGCAGGGTTCCTAATCTGCCATCAGAAAAAAGCAAATATGCAGGCAATTTAGCAAAGTGAAAGTGCAATTCCCCGGGGAATGCATAAATTAAGCTCCTGAGACTGCTGTGAATGTTTAGCCATGTTAAATCTTTGGTCACTTGGCATTTTACTATCTTTAAGCTGGATCAAGAGCACATGTGTAGGCTTTATCTGCTGAGGTTTTCGTGTGTCTACAAATCCCTTCTGGCTGACGTTCGCAGCCTTATGGTAAGACAGCACACAAGCAGCACCCCTGCATGAAGCAGCAGCTAATTCTGTACCTAAACCGACGCTGCATGTGCAATTTTCTAATTTGCTTGCAGAATTGCAGTGGTCTCAAACTGTTACAGAGGAGGTTTTTAAGTCTGGCCTTGCCTTGTGAAACCAGAGGATGCCCTTATGGGTAGCTTTGCCATCTGTTGGTAACACAAGGAGGAGAACTTTTCACTTCTCATTATTTACTTAACCATTTCTCTGTACGTTATAAGAACGGAAGCAGCAGATTAAAATTTCCAGTTAAAATAAGGAAAGGGATTTGCAGTTTGTTTCTCACCTAACTCTTAGAAATGGCTCATAAAACCTGAATGACTGGATCTTTGCCTTTTAATCCACCGAGATGGTATTTCCCAAGCAGTGGAAATGCACCGCTGCAAATCAATCCTGAGCAGCATCGTGTGTTTCTGATGCATTTGTCTGTGATGATTTTAACCATAAGCAGAGGAGGAAAAGCCAGGCCTACTGATGTATTGTATCATATATTGTCACATATGCCAGATAATTTGTGTGAATGTTGCTGTAAGAGTACTCCTCCTCTGGTGCATTGCTAACAAGTTACGGGGCCTGGTCTGTGATACCTAGAAATAAATAAGAGGGGGCAGGTGGGGAATGACAAAAACATTGGCAAAATGGTGATTGCTATGCTGACAGCTCGTGCTGTCACTCACCGTAGCCTGCACGAGGGCTGTGTGGGGATGCCAAACTGAAAACAAGTGCCACAAAACAGATGCCAAACAAAATAAGGTGCCTGCTTTTGTGCAGGGATAGGAGGATGGGGTGCAGCTCTTGCAGGCTGCTTGTGAGCCTTTATGCCTGGCAGAGCTGGGAGAATTAGAAGTGGTTGAGCCTTCTGCTTGCCCAGAAGGTACCTAATGGGTGAGTGTTGAAGCAGGCTCTGTATTTCTGGTGGGTGAAGGGGAGTACCGGACCCCCTACTGCAGTGATCACGAGAGTGTTCCCGAGCTTTATCTCGCTGTTATCTCGCTGCCTTGAAGCGCCGCAGCGTGCAGCCCGGGCCTCTGTCCAGAAGCCTGGCTCCCTGGCACGAGGGCAGCGGCATCCCCTCTTCTTCAGATTACTTCATAAACATTGCAGTCCATCCTGGAGGTGACTAGGCTTCGTTATCTCAGTTATAAATGGGGCTATCGCATTTGTCCGCTTCTGCGGCGCAGATGAAAGGTCTGGGTTTCCTCCTGCCTTATCAGGCACCTGTTGCTTGCATCCAGACATTACTCACATCCTTGAAGTCACATCTTGCTTTGCATAATTAATGCTGGCTGTGCTTCATTTCCTTCCTTCCCGTGCAGTTTTGCTCTGTGGCCTTACCTGGCTATGGACACATTCGGTTTTATTGGCTGAGGTTCTTACACGAGGAATGGGAAGCAGCTTTGGCTCCTGGGACATGGGCCCATGAAAGACAAGGATGTCTCAGTCTGGTCTAAAGGGTGTTCTTTATTCTTGAACTGATGCTGAGGCTGCAATCTGCTGCGTGAAGTTCTGTACCAGTTCATTCAGCAGTGGTTTAGGTTTGCTTCATTATTTTCTATTAAACCAAATTCCATGCAGCAAACACCTGGCCCAGTGGGGAAGCTGTGCCTTCCTTCCCAGAGGGAACACCATGCCTCAGGAACGTGATGGGTGCACCCCAGGGTAACAGCGAGCTCCTGAGGTGCTTTGGGATGACACCAGTGGGAAATATTTTCCAAAGCGTGTCCTTGTTGCTTGTTTTCAGGTGACTTCCAGCACTGACACCTGCCTCATCGCAGCAGCCCGTAAGTGCAGTGTTTGAGTTGGGAACCATTACGCCAGCACTTTTGCTTTCTGCAGTAATTCACCATTGACTTTCGTTTTGTAATTCACTTCAGCTTTTAATATCTATTGACCTGGATCTACATGAATAATTTAGTGTTTATGAACAATTGTAGTAACTGAACCCATGCCATTAACTAAACCATGAGCTCAGGGAAGTAGGATAAAAGTTCATAAAATGTAAAATGAACACTAAGGGGTCTACCATAGACCTGAGCAGAATAGTTATTTTACCTGTAATCCTAAAGACAATTTAGCTGCTTGGTGTTTGAGTGACAGAATCATGCCAGCACATCTATGTCTCTGAATCCATGCAGTTAACTGGCGTCGGTGCAATAAGCGTCCCAGTTACAGCACTGGGATTATTGGGCTGTAAGCCTGAGGTATGCGATGTTTTCTGCAGAATCAGGTGGTACAGTTCTTTATTTTTTGCAATTATATCTGACTTGCCTGGCAGCTTTAATTCCAGCTGAGCACACTGTCTTCTGCACTTGCTTTTCAAAATGTTGCCAGTCTGAAGATGTTTGCTGATTCGCTTCCTTCCTTTAGAGGATACCGGGCTGGTTAATGTTTGCTGTCTGCGGGCTCTCACCTAGTATCAAAATCTGACCTCAGAATATCAGCAATTTGCAATTCACCAAGATGAAAAACTCCACTGAGGTAAGTGCAAACTCTGAAGTTGGTACCTCACCAGAATGAAGGTTTCAGCTTCACAGCTACACGTAACTGTAGTTTGCACTGCTAGGAGTCCTTGGGGTGGAGAGCAGATACGAGCTGGTTGTAATGAATAAACAGGACTTCTGCTGAAGCTGCTGTGATCTTTCCTGCTGTCCAACTGGCAGAATAACAAAGTGTGTTATCAGACAGAGACTCTGTAAATCTTAGATATGGATTTTCCCATCATAGGCTCCAGACCTGAAACTGGATCCACTCAGCACCGGCGGAAGGGACTGGGGGTTATTTAACAACCTGCAGGACTCAGCCACTTGAGAGTGGATTGGTGAGAGCCCCATAGGAAATCTTTCCAAGTGTCTCGGGTTGAGTAGATCATCTCAAGGACCATAAATTGTGAATCTTTCTATTTTTTTTTCCCAGAATATTTATTTACAGTTCAGGTCAATAATCTCCAGAAATACAATTCTGCTTACAAACGAAATTCCTGGGCTGCATTCCCAGGCATTCCCATGTGACTTGAGCATTTTTAGCAACAAAATGAACAAATGCAAACATATTTTCAGGGCACTGCAAGTGTTGCTATTCCCATTCGCTCTGCCTGCCTGGGAGCCCCGACCCCAGGTCCTATGAAACTCAGCAGCGGTGAGGTCCCTTCTGCAGAGCATCCCGCATCGAGGGAGAGCTCACAACCTCGTGGCTGTCTGTGTAGGGCAGTCATGGGGACATTGGGCACCCAGGCTTGTGAGAGTTGGTGTATATAAATTTAAATGCAAACAAAGAATTGAAGCTGTCAGCCAGTAACCTGCTAGCACATCTTTCTCAAAAACCTATCAATTTACTTGTGACTAAGAAAATGAATTTTCATGTGGAGGAAGCTGTGTTCCCTGACAAACAAGGCAACATTGTGGAAAATTACTGGTGGTAAAAGTCATAGTGACCATAAGGCAGTGCTTTACAAGCCTTTTGGTGTTCATCTTGCCATAGCAGGCCAGTTTGATCCTGAAAAATCCAAATATTGGGATTGTTCTCACTTCTTCAGCGCTGGCCTGTAAAGAGAGCTAGGAATTATAGACAGCAGCCTGATAAAAGTACTGCCTCCTCCCCTGAAATTCTTGCCAGTACTCAGTTACATTTTGAACAAAAAGCTAGGACTCTTTCCTGAAAAGCTGTGTAACTTTTCACTGCAAGGCTCCATTTGGAATTGCTGTAATTTTCACAAACTTAAGTTTATGAAAAATAAACTTAATTTTCATAAAATTACTTAATTTTCATAAACTTAAGTTTATGAAAGTTGTAGCAAAAGGGAGGTATTTAATTCCATCTTAGTAACTGCAGTAGTTAGCAGCATTTCTGTTAACTTTTAAACCTTAGTTTAAAATGCAAGAACTTTACTGGGGATGGTGTCGGCGCTCTGCAGCTACCTAGGTGGCAGGCTGATGTAAAATGATATTTTTGTGTACTGTAAAACCATTCTGTACTGCAGTTCTCTGCTGCTTCCACAGGACTGGTGATGATTAACTGTGTATCTTAACCATAGCTGCTCCTGCCCTGTAAAACTAATGTGATTTGGTGTGGCCTCTGTTTCCATCCCTATGCAGTAATTTTTTATTTTTTATTTTTTTTTTTGATTCTGATGTGTATATGTAATGCATATCATAGAAAAAGGATGAAAATGCTGCTGGCCCTACCCCGTGCCATGCAGGGAGCCCCAGCCCAGGGCCAGCCTGTCCCCACAGCACCGCTCCGCTCCCCTCGCTGCCCATCATTGCCTGGGGTATGGCAGTGGAATAAAACCAAACCAGCCCTTCCCTCTTTGAGGTATTGCTGGGCATTACAGAGTCACATACTTGTACGTAATTACTGTATTCTAACACTTCAATATTTTCCTGACTACTTTCCTCTTGTCACTGCTTTGAAAATACCCAGGTTATATCCATTAAAAAGTTACAGACTACAAAACATATGATTTCAAAATAATCTTTTTTTAACACTTAAACATTTTTCTTTGTGGCCTTAACCTGTTACTTTCACAGAATTTACTTTTTTTTTTTTTTTTTCTTTTAAGAACATCTCTGATGCTGTATATCGCAGTGTTATGACAGCTCTGCTGGACCACAGCCAGCGGTCCGTGCTGTCAGAATGCCCGTCAGTTCCGGCCGTTCTGCATGGTGAATGGCACGGTAATGTGGAAACTTCAAACAGCAACAGGAAGAAAAGTAAACGTTTAATGATTTTTCTTTAACAGATCTTGAAAAGCTTTTGTCTTGCTTTGTTGCTGTTGAGATCTTTTCTGGACACCTTCATGTTCTTTTTTCTGCCCCATTCCTGTTTTTCTTCAGAGGTTTTCTTTTTTCCCTGCGAGTCAGTGATCTTATTGATGTTAGAGACTCGCTGCCCGCACATGAACAGTCTGGGCAGCAAAGTTCAGGCGATATTTCCTCTGCGCAGTGATTAGTCCTGCTTACTGACAAACAAAAGCAGGGAGCATTCGAAATTAATATCAGCTTGCTTTGCAAGCTCTGTTTTCCTGACCTTGAAGCTGAGAGGCTGGGAAGCACCGCATCGATCCGTGGCAGGAAGGAAGGCGCTCGGGAGCGCCTCTGTGCTCAGAGAAACCCGAATACGAGCGGTGGGCTGCGTGTGGAGCCGTGGTGCAAGCTGCTACCGTTTGGAGCTAGGAAGTGGTCAGCTTTGGATCTCCATGCCAAAGAAAACTGTTCAATATTTGAACGCGATATTGACGTTAGGGTTCGGAGGAGGATGTGCAGAGAGGAGGAGACGCGGGGCTGCAGGGGCAGTGGGGCAGGCAGCCAGGGGTGCCTGCAGCCCCCAGCTCGCTCGGTGTTGGAGCCTCCCTGCTCACCTCCCCCTGTGCTGTGGGTGTTTCCCCGCTGTTACCAGCAGCTCTGCTCCCAGGCCAGCCGTGGGTGTCCCTAATGGGCTGTCCTGCCCTCTCCCCAGTCTCTGCCAAACTGTTCTGAGCAGGTATAAGGATTTCCCTGTGCCCTAAAATCTGTGCTTAGCACTGCTGCATCTTGTTCACCTCCCACTGGCTAGTGAAGGTGATGGTAGCACCCTCTTGTTTCTGTCCCTTGTTAGTTTTCTTTATTTTCGGGTGGCACACAGCTGGTTTGCACACAGCTGCCTTCTGCAGCGAGAAGCTCGGGTGAGCCTGGGTGCTCTTGGGGCTGGAGGGAACAAGCAAGGGAGAAAGGTGGGCACTGCACGGGCAGACAAAATCTGATGGGGACAAGCACTGAGTGATACACAGGGGCAGAAAGAGGCCAAATTTCAAATATAACGGGGTGTTTAACAATCTAATTGAGAGTTCACTGGTGATACAGGAGGGTTGGAACTTGATGAACTGAAGGTTGGAGGCTTCATTCTCAGGTGATGTACTTTGTCATGTGGAGATGGAAAGGCCCAGGACCAATAAACTTTTGTCTCAGTAACCCTTGAATAACAAGATAAAATCTCCCAGGAGAAATTGGGATCTGCTGCCACTCAGTAGACAGACTCAAGTTGTTGCAAGGTAAACAGATCCTGTGCTTTGTCTTAGCCAAAACCAAAGTCGAGTCCTGGTCTTTGGCCCTGTTAGTCACTTGTAGGCTGGGAAAGAGGTTTGTGGTGGTTGGAAGTCAATCTAATAAAGTATATTTTTACTATTAGGATGGATTACTTTAAAGAGAATGCAAGTCAACGTGACCTCTTCATCTGTGTCTTTTTGGAAGAAATGCTGACGTTCCTGATTAAAACGTTCCTGTTTGTAGTCACACGTGCAGTCAGAGCATGACAATAGCCAGGGGTTGAACATGTGCAGCTTTGGTCTGTAGGTTTCAGGAGAGCGTCGCTGCCACAAGAGGAGGAGAGGATTTCCGATGCGCGGCTGCGCTTCACTTCGGATGAAGTGTTGGTGCTGAAGCTGTGAGAGCTGCAAGCCGCTGAGAGCTGTGTGTGACAATGGAATTACTGTACAGACAGGGCTGGGTTCTTAATGTAAAAAAAATGCAGCAAGGAATTTTTAGCACGTTGTCATGCAGCACTCTGTTTCCTGGCTTGTATGTTCAAGCTGTGTAATAATATTTATATACAAATGCTGACTGTGATTTTCCACCCCGGAAAAAGGAGATGTCATTTAAAAGTGCTGCGCATGATGTAAAGCAGAGATTTTTGACTTGTGTACTTGCATATGGTGTGGGTGTGTATTTTAATTGTTTGAAAAGGGATCATTTAAAAAAATATAACCTTCTTGCTACATAAGCACATTCTACTGAACTAAAGGTCATCTTGCGCTTTAAAAGTTGCTCTTGGAATAGAGGGAAGGTTCCTCATGTTGTCTTTCCCCTGTTCCTACCTCCTGAAATTTTCTGAAAAACATTAAGTAATTGTTGGGCTGAAACAGCTCTTTAGGCCATGTTGAAGCTGGGACCCAGTAACATGAGAGCGGCAGTCATGACTAAATGTGTGTTGGCACATAGAAGAGCGTTTTTTTCCCCCAAAGAACCATGCTATTCGATCTCCCCAGAACTGACACCTGCATCTTGAAGCACGCATACCAGTTCTGTGTGAATGATCACATTGATTCTCTTAAGCTTTTCTGGAGCCAGGATTTATAAACAGTTCCAAGGCAAAACCTCTGCTTATCAGCTCTAGCCAAGGAAACTCTTCAGAAATCTTTCCAGTTACCAGCACGTTTCTGATCCTGGTGCGCCGGGGCCTTGGTTTTCGTGTTGCAATCTGTGCTCCTGAGAATCTCCTGGGGGATTGTGCATAGAGCAAATCATGACACGCCGCGCCGAGATGTGGAAGTTCATCTCCTGATCTGCGCCTGACCAAAGAAGGCTGGATCACAGCTTTGTTTTATCCTATTACAATGACAGAATCCAGATGTCAAGAGCTTAAATCTTTAAAGTTCCTGTTTTTCCCCTCTGTAAATGCTGTGAAGCCGGGGCTGTCACTCCGGCCGCGTGGCTCCTGGCGCAGCAGAGCCCTGCACGGCCGCGGGGCTCTGCAGGAGGGGAGCGAGCGGGGGGCAGCAGCGTGCCCGTGCCAAGCTGTGCTTCTGGGTAGCCCACAGCCTGATGCTCTTTGTTGACAGCAAAATGGGCAGATCCAGAGAATAATAAGGTATTGAAATAAATGAAACAGTGGGTGGTGTAACAACAACAAAATATATATACACATATGTGCATTTGCTGATATTCTGTGAGGGACCTGCAGGTGACCCCCTCAGCTATCTGCACCAAGGCTTTCAGCTAGGACCTTGAGTGGATGGCAGCAGGAACAGGTTATCTAGGGCAGTTAGAGCCTATTTTGACTTTTTTCTTGTTGTTGCATATTCAAATTACTGATACTCCTTGGTACAGAGTGAGATCTTGGTTTCCCCCTCTCCTCTCCCAAAAGCAAGGAAGCTCAGAACAGTTTGGAGGAATGCAGTCAAGCGTGCCCTGGCCTAAGCGCGGCTCATTTTAACAGTACTTTTGTTTTTCTTTAAACTCGGGAATTCTGCATTCTGGTAATTTGTGTGACTAGACATGCGACTTTGTCACATTAACAATAACAGCGTTTGTGCCCCCGTGCCACGGCAGGCATGCGGTTTGTGTTTTCCTTGGCTTGCCCGTGGACATCTCACAAAATTTCCATTTTGTGAAGAATAAGGACACTTTGTGCTCTCCAAACAACTTCGCTCATTAGGCTTTGCTGTGCACTGCCTGACGCTGAAGCCCTGCTGCACTGCTCGGAGCTGCAAAGAACCGAGTGGCCCTGACCCCTGCTCCTCGCGTGCTCCCCACTGCGGTGGCGAGGCCAGGGGAGTGGGGCAGTGAGCTGCAGCCTCTCAGGCCTTCCTTGGCAGGCTGTGGTGCTGCCTGTAGCCAGGGAGCACGTCTGCTCCCTTTCTCACCAAGGGAAAGGTGCAGCAGTGTGGCTCGGTGGCTACTTCTCCATCAGCAGCAGGTGCTGCTGGCCAGAGGGCTGAGGACATCTCTGCAACCAAAATGTAGCATCAGTGTCACCTCCTGCTGCTCCACCAGGGAGGAACGTGATGGACCCCTGTCAGAGGGTTAGCTGTTGGGGCCAAATACCAAGTGATTTGCTTGGAATATCAATATATAGCTGTAACAGGTCTGTGCAGGTTGCTTGATACTGATTCCCGTAATATGGTATTTTGAAAAGAAAGTGGAAATAGTTTGATAAGAAATTAAGAGATGAGTCTTCTGGTTGAGAAAACCCAGAAATGCACCCCTCCAGCCCTGCGTTACAGAAGCACTGTCCAGTGGTGCAGGAGCTGCTGGGATGGCTGCACACAGGGCTGGGATGTGAGCAGGGCTCCCTGCAGTGGGGCCAGCCAGCCTCGGTGCCTGGCCCAGCTCCTGGTGGCATTCCTACCTCCATGACCTGAGGAGTGTGTTCAGGCATGGGTCATCCATGCGGTGCTCGGGCTTCCTGATGTGTCATCTGCAAAGCAATTATCTGGCTTTAGGTTATTTTCAAGTCTCTACCGGCAGCTGTCGGCACAGAGCAGCCTTCTGGCTCTTAAACCTGCTCAGGTACCAGGGAGCTGCACAGATCTGCACAATTTCATGAATGAGTGATCAATAGAATCATGAATTTTCATGAATTAGTGATCAACAGGAATTGGCCAATTCCTGCAACGTTGCAAATGTGAGTATTTTGTTTGCTTTTGAGGGATTCAAGATTTTCTGGAATACCTCTGCATGCTTACAGCCTGTGTATCAGCACCGGGGTGGGCTGTGTTGACTCCCCTTTCTTCCCCCATCTAAGTGGAGGTGGCTGACCTGTGAGAAAAGCCCTCTCCTGCCCCAAGGACGTGCTCAGGATTTTCTGCTTGCTTTGGAGATGTGAAATGCAGCAAGAGATGTGGGGAGAGCCTGGCTGGAGCCGTCCTCTGCCATCGCACCCACCTGGGCTGGGGTCACCTCTGCAGGGACAGGGATCCCTTCTCCAGGGAGAACCCAACCACAGAGACCTGTTCACTGCCCACTTTAATTGAGCTTCCTTTCTGGATGGCTGTGTTTAGGCTCAGCAAGCCTGCGAGCACGGTGCAGGTTTTTCCCAGGCAGAGCAGCGTGGCTGTAAAAGCCCCAGCTGGACGGGGCACCGACAGCCAGCACTTCCTTCCCTAACATGGTCAAAAGCAGTCTTAAATCGGATTAGGATTTTAACAAACACTTCATGGTTTACTCTCTGCAGGGAGATTTAAAGCCTGGGGAAGACTCTTCAGCTGTTTGCTTTTCCTTTATGGAGAAACTTTACCGTGGTTGCCCTAAAAGCCCCACCAAGTACAATAAAAAAAATCCCTCCTCAGAAAAGCAAATTACTTGACCACAGCCTAAAATAAAGTGTTCATTATCTGCTGACACCCTTTTTCCCTCTGTTTGCAGCTTTTCCATCCAGCTGAACTCAGCAGGGAACCTGCCTGACGCTGCAGCAGGGGCTTGTGCACGAGCTCGGCGCTTGCCCCCTGTAAGGCACGGCGCTGGGCTCGCTAGCTGAGGGGTTGCTGCTGTATTATACAGGTGAGTGCATGGCCTCTTCGGCTTTTTTGGTGGCCTTCTCGATTTTTTCAGGAGGCTGCCACCACCACACGTGTGCCTGAGGAGAGTGTGAGCCCAACTGTCTGAGCTGTGCCAATGTGCCCAGAGGTGCTCGTGAGGCTGTGTGAAGATGCCCATCATTTACTGGGAGGTGAGTGCCTCTCTTCTCCGCTCCATGCCCCATGGTTTAGCTCAGAGGATGAACTAAATGCAGAATGAGGGCTGAACCATGCAGCACTGATGTATGTTTTGTAGGTAATGCTTTGGAGAAAATCGCTAATTTGAAATGTTGGAATAGCAAAGAGCATTTTTCAGGCTTTTCAGGCGTAACGTATTGTGGAAAAGAGGCTCAGAGCAGATGTACTCGCAGTTTATTCCATTTATCATATTAAAAATAAAGAAAAGACAATTTCGGCTCATTTACTGCTTATTAGTTCAAATAAACAGCTTTTCTAATCAATGTGTATGGCAAACACAATGCTTTCATAATTGGCAGTAGTGGTTCCAGAGCTAATGCAACTGCCCTTCTTTATTGTCTGGTAACAAGTCAGACAGTTAATACGTTGGTCTAATCTTACCCCTCTCTTATTCATTTTAGTTCAGGAAAAAATATGCTCTTATTTAAAAATTTTAAGTGTTTGAGGGATTTTTTCCCCATCCGTTTGAGAAAATGCAGCTAGGAATGAGAGCGGCTGCACAGGAAGTGTTCACAAAGGCAGGCATCTAAACTACATCTGAGGGAGTCTTTTGCTCTTATTTATCTAGAGGTCTTTATTGATTTTTACTTCCCTTCCAAAAATACTGATTTAATTTATGAAGTGATAGAAGAGGCTGGGAGAATAATTTTACCTATGAGAGTGTAACATTGTCTAAGTAATTGCCAGGAAAAAGAGAAAAGATCTGATCTACTGCTGCAGATGTTTCTCATCTGGAATACAGACCAATTTTAGCCTTTTCTTTGGATTACTGTTTATTTTGATGCTTTATTATACTGCAATTACCAGGAAGGAAGCAGTGCACAGAAATCCAAGTACGATGCTATTTGTACTTTAACGTTTATTCAGTAACAATTTGGCAGTTTAACCCCTTTCTCCCCTTCTTCTTTTGATATGTGTGAGCCCTCGGTTCAGTCCTTTCATTGCAAACAACAAACCCTACCGACAGGTGACACTCATCACAGCTGCTGTTGAACAACCTGAAATTTTGTAGGTGCCTTAATGCTCATCTTCTGAGTGCAACTAACGAGGACCTGCTGGCTTTTTTTGCCACCTAGTGCTTCTGTCCCTGCATTACTGTGGAAGGTTGGTTTGTGCAAGGAGCCCTGTGCTGCAGCTCCCCAGCCAAACGCGCGTGTTTGCCTCGTCAGAGGAGTTTCCTTGCATGAGTGGAGTAAACTTAGACCTGCTCTGTTTTACTAGAGGGGAGCCAAGGGCTGTAGCAAACCTTTTGTATGCTGGATGGAAGGAAACAAGCTTACATAAATACCTTTGGATCCGGGGCTTCTTGTGACCAGGATTTAAACCTGGTGAATCCTTTCTAAAAGATGCTGAACTTGCTGGTAGGTATCACCCCGTGAAACAAGTAAGATGTTCCCGCTGTGGACAAAGCTTCAGATCTTTTAGCCATGCTCGGAGAACACCTTTGTCCTCTGGACCTGTACTCTTTGATGCTCTGATAACCTCAACAATCATCCCATGTGATTATAAACACATGGAAATTAAATCTAGGTGGTGCTCCAAAAGTTAATGTGCAGTGCAGTAACTCTGAAGCAGTAGCTGTGCTGGCTGTGCCTGGTTTTGCAGCACACACCAGTTTCTGTACTGCTCCTTCCTCTGCCTGCCCCCTCTCCTCTCTCTCTGTGTTCAGGTTCCTCCCAAAAGAAGGCAGAGTTTCAGATGAACCAAAGCAGAGCCAGCGGTCCCATTGCGTCTTACTTCTCCAGATTTCTCTTGTGGATGTCGGTGCGGTGAGCGTGCCGACATCTGCTGCGTGCACATGCATTTACACCCCCACAGCTACACGTTACAGGGCAATGCTGTGCTTCATGGCTGAGCATGGCCACGGTCACGTCTGTATCCCAACGGGGTGGCTGCAGGAAGCCAGCCCCGACAGGAGCTGTGCTGATGGGCGGCAGGAGCCCTCCTTTTCCCGCACGGGCTCCAGCTCTGGCCTGAGCAAACCCCATGGTACAATGCAGCTGTTCTGCTCCGGAGGGGAGCAGGAAGGTGGGTGGATTAGGAAAAGTTTAATATTAGTAATTTTTTTTTCCACTGAGCCATGTCACGCTCGAGTCCCCCCATGGCTTCATGGCTCGTGGTCACCCCTGGGAGCAGCAGTCCTGCTGCTGTCCGTCCGTCTGTGGCTGTGGGTCTGAGCAGTGAGACTGGTCGTGCTCGGGGGGCTGTGTGGGGCAGAGCTCTGTGGGGCTTCACAGTGATGGTTGCTGTGAATTAGAGCAGCACTGACAGAGCCACGCAGTCTGTAACATGGTACCTTTTGGTACCTGGCTATGGCATCCAGACCTCCCAACATTTCATAATCCACAAATGGAAAAGTGGCCCTTAAAATTAATTTATTCAGGTGGGAGCACCTGTAAAACTTAAAATAAGGCTTTTGAATTGCTGCACATGCATTGGAGTGTCAATGGAAAGCTTTCTGTTTGGTTTCACAGCCAGATTCAGAAGCGATGTGTGTTGTAGCAGGTTGGGACGGGGCAATGAATGGCGAGGGAGCGCTCACGAAGCTGTGCCCGCTGGCAGGCCAGGCGCCAGGAGGCATTCGGGCACGTCAGAGGAGAGCATTTGTCTGGGGAGGGCTGGAAGCTGAGAGGGGAGAGGCAGAACCCAAACAGAGAGTCTTGTAAGATTAATATCTACGTTTTATTTTGCACGCTGCTGTTTCCCTCATTTTCTCCCTGGCACGCTGTGTGCTTGTTGGGCTTTGTGCGCGTCGCCGTGGGCAGGAGCACCGCGGGCAGCGCTGCCAGGAGCAGCTGCCTGCACCCCGAAGACAAAGCAGAAGGGAGCTGTAAAACAACCACGGGGATGCAGGGAGAGCAAGCGAGAGCACTTCTCCTTTGCTTATTTAATCTGACACTGTCCTTAAACATAAGGTCATTTTATAGCCTGCTCGAGGGCTGCCAGGCAGAGGAAGTTACCTTGCGAAGGAAGGAACTGGCCCGTACTGTCCAAATATTGCCAATTGTGTACTGAACGGAGGCCATAGCCTGGAGAACCCAAATAGTAGCTCTTTGTGTCCCCAGTCGCCTCCTGCCAAAGTACTTTCCATAATTAGGCGTAAAACATATTTACATTCCTGTTGTCTTTGGTCTTGGGCACACACCTGTATGTGTGTACTGCGCACGAGGTGCAGGCGTATCTAGTCCCTGTGCTTTCAGAAAATGCCTGGCACTTCTGAGAAGATCTGTAGCAGCTGATGTGAGTGACTGGGACGTGAGCTTCGAGCAAGTTGGGGATTCCTCAGGGATCCCACATGTGAGGGGCAGAAGAAGTCCATTGGGCTCATCCCTGTGCCATGCAGGGGTACAGTCCCCCACCCAGAGGGATGCTGTATTTTGGCTGAATGGGAAGCTCCTGGCTGAATGCTCCCTTTTAAAATTCATTGACGTTTGCAGGGAAACCAGAAAAATGGGCTTAAGTCAAGAATGCAATAACCTGACTTAGAAGTGCTCTCTGTGGCAGACACTCATCGCTCGCAGCCTTTCTGCCTGCATGAAGATAAATATAATAGTGTGCCATAAAATACTGTGCCTAGCTGGATCTCTAGTGTATTTATAACACAGCGGCTGGTGTACAACAGCTTCTCAGTATGTGTTTCTCCCTTTCTTCATGATAACTAGTAGCCAGACATTGATTAGTTCACTTTTGGGGGAAAAAATGTCACGCAGGACAACTGGATACTTGAGAGGAGAGATTCCTGACAGGCGTCCAAGGGAGCACGACGTGGTCACGTGGCACTGGCTGCTTGCCTGCTTCCAGCTGCACAGTTTCATTAAAATGCAGCCAGAAATCCATTAATTACTATTCTAACATAACTTCCCCGTGGAGGCAGCGGTGCAGCTTTCACATCCGCACGGATGGGAGCTGGGCAGTGCGAGGCATGGGCACAGACCTTGCGAGGGGTGCCCTCCTCCTCCCCCAAGCCCTTTTGTGCTCTGCCGTGCCCCAGGGCTGCCTTGGGACGTGCTGCCCACAGGGGACCCCAGCACACGGGGGGGTGGAAGTGAGCAGTGGGCAGCAGCCAGGGGCAGTTCTCTGGGCTGGGGCAGCCGATGCTCAGGTGCTGATGGAAGCCCCTGTGTGAGTGGTGCGGGGCTGAGCTGCATTGGCCCTGCACGCAGCCTGGTCCTGGCTCCTGCTGCTCCTGCCTGGCCTCCACCAGCGTGCCCAGTGCTGGTTTCTGCCAGTGCTTGGCTGCATTCAGCCTTCAGCGCAGCTCCAGGCACTGCAGGCACTTCCAGCCCTCCTCTGACAGATGCTCCCAGCGATAGCTCCAAACAGACCCTCTCAAACGGCCGGGTGTGGGCTCCTCTCTGTGTGGCAGTCACAAAACCCCCCAGTTTGCCAGGGTGACCCCTGCTCCTGCTGGGAAACTACTTGCAGAAGTCCCACGGAAACTTTCAAGCCCAGGATCGTGCTCGCTCTGGTTGGGAGTTTACTTTTGCTCCGGATGCCTTCTGCGTCTTCAGGCACTTAATGGAAACGCCAGTGCTCGCACTTGGAGGGCAGGCCGGAAAGTTTATGTGGACTTGTCCCAGTGCCAGAGTGACATTTTTGTCAGCCGGAAGCCTATTTCCATTAGTGCCTTTGTCAGACTTTGCCTCAATAGAGGGGAATTTGGGGCTTTCTGTGTCAAAGTGCTGTACAAATGTTATCTGAGGTCTTTACCACCCATCAGTGCCGTGGTTTTTTGACGTTCATGGGAAGCACCCCGAAGCACTTGAGCAGGGGCAGGGCAGGTGA